GAGTCAGAGGATCAAGGTTCATATTCTGCCTTAGTCATCTACTCCCTCTGTGACCATGGGCCTCAGTTTCCTCAACTTGAAGGAAAAAAAGAGAGGGATTTAGATTAGATGGCCTCTGAGGTCTCTTCCATCTCTCAGGCTATGATCCTTCCATCCTTCCATAAATTCTCCAAAGGTGGTCCACTCAAATGCACTCAAAGACTTTTATTTAGTTCTTTTAAGATCTTGAAGAGCCAGCGTAACACTTGGATAAGTCCCTCCAATAGTCTGTCAACACATTGGCCATTAGACAAAGAGAACACATGAAGAGCAAGAGTAATTCAGCTAATCAATAATTCAATTATTGATCATGAATTCTTAAGGGTTTGCACTTGTGTGTGTGTGTGTGTGTGTGTGTGTGTGTGTGTGTGTGTGTGTGTGTGTGTGTAGCCCCCTTGGCAGTATGGTGAAGCTTATGCCCCCTTCTCAGAATGATGCGTGTTGCCTACATTCATAATTGAAGGAAACCTTAAATTTCAGTTAGAGATTAGTAAAAGAAAAAATGGAATTTTTTTCCATCCAAGTTCACAGACTCCCTGAAATCTCTCCATGAACCATGGACCTCAGTTTAAGAACTCCTCCTATACTCAGCATTATATGTGACAGTAGGACAGGAAGCGATGGATTTAGAGTCAGGAGAGATCTAGCTCCCAACCCAGACTTGAACATTGGCGCCACCATTTACTAACTATGTAAAGCTGTGGATTAACCAAGTTGAGTCCTAGTTTTCTTCTCTGTAAAATAGAGTCAATAATACTTACATTACGCACCTCAAAGGGAACATGCTGTAAATCTTAAAGTCTATCTATGGATGTGTATCTGTGTCCTGTGTCCCCTTTTCCACCATGACTATGGAAATGGAGAAGGTAAGGTGGCAACAAACACATAAAATACCTATTATGTGCTAGGCATCGTGCTAAGTGCTTTACAAATATTATCTCAAGGGACTGAAGTTCAATTTATATTATTGACCATTTTATGAGTCATTCTGCCCTCCCAAAAAAATTTCGTAGGCTACGGACAACTCAGCTGGTGATGATTATGAGGCTCTTAGTACTTACCTAGGCTGGTCTTCAGATAGTAGACATAGTCTATCACAAGTTGTCCTACTTGGGAAAAAAATTCTAGCTCCTATATTCTGCTGGCATAGGCTACAAGAGCCCAAGGTCTCTTCCATGCCATAAAGAAACACTAAGGGCAGCTAGGTGGCACACTGAATAGAGCACCAGCCCTGAAGTCAGGAGGACCTGAGTTCAAATGTGGCCTCAGACCAAACACATGACACTTACTAGCTGTGTGACCCTGGGAGAGTCACTTAACCTCAATTGCCTAAAAAAAAACACACACACTAAAGGGGGATCCCATTGTAGATGCTCTCAAAAAATCTCACCCATCAGAGAAAATAGGCCAGAAGCTATTCTACAGTGTATATTAAAAATGGCCCTAAGACCTTTTGATAAGCCTTTATAAAACTATGACGGAAATCATTTCCTCCTTTCTTTTGTGTAGGCTTTCCTGAATGAAGGAAATGAAGGAAAAATTGGGAAGAGGGGAATAGTTTGGGTTTTTTATCACCTTTGAAACAAACCCAAGATTAAAAATTAGGTGGTTTTTTTTTGTTCTGTTTCAGTGAGTTATGCATAGTAATATTTCCCATAGGTAACATGCCTTTATTTATTCATATAGGTAGCTCTTGCTATCTGGTCATAATCCAAATTTCCTTTATTATTAACTAGGAGAGTTTCAAGATAAGAAGTTAGGAGTTATCTATCAATAACTTTCCTTTTTAAATCCTTCTGCCTCGTATATAGTGGGAATCCTAAAAATGCTGTTTGTGTGTATGAAATGTATGCATGATAGAGACAGGAAGACCTAGAGAGAGAGGAGAGACAGAGAGAGGGTGATAGGGAAGGGAGGAAGAAAGAGATAAAAAGAAGAGAGAGGGAATTGATATTCCTTTTTTTTTTTTTTTTGGTGAGGCAATTGGGGTTAAGTGACTTGCCCAGAGTCACACAACTAGTGACTGTTATGTAGGTGAGGCAGGATTTGAACTCAGGTCTTCCTGACTCCAAGGCCAGAGCTCTATCCACTGTGCCACTTAGCTGCCCCAGGGAATTGATATTCTTCTTTTGGTTCATACAGCCAGAGACAGCAGCCTCTTCAGGACCATGATAAAAGCATTTCCTTTAAGAGGATAATCATTCAACTCATTTTCTAAGCATGCATACCTTTAATCATTTAAAATGCAAACCTAATTCCATTGGTTTTGATTGTATTAAAATAGACCATTGTGCTTCAATGTATATTGTAATGTGCATTCTCGTACTTGAGTTTGAAGAGACCCTATTGAAGAAGACAGTCAGAAAAGGACAGTTAAGAAAAGCTTAGAGGTCCAGCAGAGGGGTTGCCAATCTATGACATGTGTGCCATGTACTATGAATGGCAAGTCAGCTGATCTCCCATAGTGAATGAACCAATTTAATTCAATTCAATAAGTATTAATGACCTAGTATGTATGAAGTCCTCTGGGTACAGTGATTAAAAAGAAATAGTCCCTGCCTTCAAAGAGTTTACATTCTACTGAAGGAGACAATACTTACGTAGATAAGTAAATACAACATATTTGGAAAATGAATGAAAAGTAATTTTGAGGAGCAGACTACTAACAGTTGCGGAAAACAGAAAAGTCCTTTTGTTAGAGGGTAACACTTGGGCTGAGACATGAAAGGAGACAGAGCTTCCAAGTGGAATAGGTGGGAAAGGAAAGCTGTCTAGTTGGGGAGGAAAGCCCACACAAAAGAAAGAAGATAGAACATCACTTGTGGAGAAAAGCAAATTAAGACAGTGTGAGCGGGATATGCAGCTGGAGTAATAAATACATTGAAACATTTGTTTTTAATTAAGTAATCAACAAGAATTTATTAAACATCTCCTATATGCCAGCTACTATGCTAAGTACTAGGTATAGAAAATTAAACTATTCTTTCCCTCAAGGAGCACTAGCTACCTGCAGTATGAGGCAGGGGACAGGGAGAGACCAGGAACTTACTTATTAGTCCCTTGAATCTGGTGGTAGAATTAGAGAAGTCTACAGAAGAGAGAAAAGAGTGAAGACCTGGAAAGCTAGAGATGGAATATCACTTGATCATGATTGTCCCCAGGGTCAATACTTTGTATAGCTATAAACACACAGGCCTTTGATAGAATGTTATTAGCCTGTAAAGTGAATGGTTACACAAAACCTATTCATTGAGGTATGTTAAGCTAGCAAGCTATCAGTTTAAAAAAATGCACTGAACCAAGAGTTCTAGTCCTAGCTCCAGTACTAGCTGATTATTTTGACCCTGGCCAAGTCATCTGGTCTCTTTGGACCTTAATTTCCTCAGCTATAAAATGAGAGGGTTCTACCTTGATAACGTCTAAAGACCCTTCCAGCCCTGACACTCTGAATGACTAAATAAATGGAATTTACAAGTTACTTTGACTTTTTTAGACAGAAAGTATATATTGTTACTGTTATTTAGCATACATATGGTAGTTCTGAGAGGTTATGAACACAGAAGAAAGGAGAGGTCCTGTTAAGAAAGGAGTTCTAATACTGAAGATCACTGAGAGACCATTAAGCAGGCAGCAAGGTGTTAGTAGAAAAATGACCAGGGTGTGAGTCAAAGGACTTGGGTTCAAATTCTGCCTCATCTGTATAGCTTTGGGAAAGTAACATTCTTTCTGGACTTCAGTGTTCCCATCTGTAACATGAAGGGCTTAGACTGTCAGTCCATCAGTCAACAAGCATTTATTAAGTGCACTATGTGATAATTACTGCTAAATTGATGTTACAAAGAAAAGCAAAAAAAAAAAACCAGCCTCTGCATTCAAGGAGCTTATAGTCTAATGGAAGAAATAACATGCAAGCAACCATGTACAAAAAGAATAATCTCAAGTGGACCAGGAAAGGCTTCTTACAGAAGGTAGGACTTTAGCTAAAACTTGAAGAAAGCCAGGGAATCCAGGAGGTGAAGACAAAGAGGGAGAGAGTCCCAGGCATGAGAGACAGCCAGTGAAAACGTTTGGAGCCAAGAGATGAGTGCTCTCTAATGTCTTTCCCGGTTCTCATTCCTAAGAACATGTGACTAGATTATGTCTAAGGGTCTCTCCAGTTCTAACATTCTGATTTGGAAAACGAGATTTAATTAAGAGGATTGTAATTAAGTTTTCCAAAGGAAAAAATGGAGAAACCCATCACAGTGGCTCTACTTTCATGGAACACCAACACCTGAGCAAAGTGTAAAAACGCCAAGAGTCAGTTCCTGCCAGTATCTGCCCAGATGAAGGCAGGAAACAAATCCTGCAGATGATGGAATTGCAAAATGTGCCCAAAGAGCTTTCCATCTCTCATCACCCCGACCCACCTAGGGAAGCAGATTTCGTTGAGGGCTCTCAAACATCTGTAGGCACAATTATATGGCTGGGATTTTCCTCTGGTGAAATCCATGCTGCTACTTGTGACAAAAATAGAGAGGCCCAGAGTTGGCACGGAGTTTGGATTTGAACATCTGAGTAGTTGGAGGCTGACACTGCATTGTAAGCCCCACATTTTGGGGCAGAGGGCATCTCTCCAGCTCCTGTAGCTAAGACATCAAGATAATCATCCCAGAAAAATGTTACCTTGGCAGCAGTTGCCTAGTAAGATGAGCAAATGAGAAGATGAGAGGGGAAAATGAACAGAAGCAATAAATCTAAACACATATTTACTTTTCATAGCAAAATATACATGGGGACAATATTCTCAACTTAAATATTACCCATGTCTGTTTTCCACTAGTAGCTTTTTCTTGAATGAAAACTAAATGCAAAATGTTTGAGCCTCAGGCAGGGTAAATATCTCATGAGGTAGCTGGTAGTGCCCAGCCAAAAAGAGTTGACTAACGTTAAATCACTCAGTGTTCTGTTCTTCTTTGCAGGATGATGCCAATGGTCATTCAATTTTCTCTCCTGATCATGCTGCACTCGGCCCTTGTTCTTATCACCACAGCAGAAGATTATAAGTGTTTACCACTCGTGCTGCGGAAAACTTGCTGTTGGATTAATGAAACCTATCTGGCCCGAAATGTTATCATCTTTGCCTCCATCTTGATTAATTTCCTTGGTGCCATTTTAAATATTGTAAGCATCTCTAAGCATTGGAAACCGAGCTAATTTATAGCCTGAGAAAGTTTCCAGATTCTACAGATTTCTCTCTACTTTCACCAAAAAAAGGCTAATGGTCATGTTCCTGAACTACACACCTACCTTAGGGAGGGAGGGACATAGTATAAAGGAAGTTACGCACTGAGGTCCTGTTCAATTTGCTGCCCCTGAAATGGTACTAGTCATTTCTTATAGGTTACCACCTATCCATTACCTTTGCATCCAAAGAGACTATCCTTTGGGTACCACTGCTAGCCAATCAGTTTATATTATATATGACTTCCCAAGAATCAATATCAAAAGGGAATGCACTCCATCCTAAATAACCTAAATTCATCACTATCTTTGGAATATTTGTCATTTCTGTGTCAACTTGATATATTGGATTTTAAGAATTTTACTAATCCTGACCAGGATAAAAGCATTGTAATTTTCCATTAATATTTTGTACAAACAGATGTTGTAGGTTTACTGGGCCAGATTTTAGGCCCTAGGTGGGAAGTTGGTGCTTTGAGTGGCTATTTAGACCACTCTCATGCCATTGAAAAGAATCATAGAACTTTTAGAGTTGGAAGGTGCTTCAAAGTTCATCTGATACAAGCTTTTCCTGATGGTGTGATGCACTTAATATTCTCGACATGTGGTAATCTAACCTTGGGTTGGACACCTCCAGTGTGAGGAGCTCACTAGGCAAGTTCATTTTCCCTACTTATAAACTGAGGAGATTATATTAGAACTGGTGATCTTTCTCACCAGCTCTAAAGTTCTGTGACCTTGAGACAAGTCACTCCATTTTCACATAGTTCTAATTCTTGGGAAGCTCTTCCCATGAGTTGATCTATAGCCTGCCTCCCCCTGCCATTTTTGATTCTCATCTCTGGCACCAAAAATAGTCAGTTTAAACCCTACTTCCCTATATCTTGGAAGATATCATCACCGACAGTTGGAAGGGACCATCACATAAGCCATCTAATCCACCCCCCTATTTGGAAAAGAATCCTTCCTAAAATATAAATAAGTGCATCTAGCCTTAGTCTGAAGACTTTCCAGTCTCTTTCAACAAAGTACTAAGGCTTAGTCTCTTCCAGCTCTCACATCTTATGTTCTTACATTCTATAGTCTAAAGTTCCCTCCCTCTCTGATAGTCTATTATGCTATGTTTTTAGCACTTTCTATGCTAAGATCCATCCAAATTCTCTTTTACATTCAGTATTGTAAATACTCCAAGATGCTTTATAGCTCTGTTTGTCTATTATAGTCTATATTTTAACATGATATGTTCTAAGGGCCCCTCCAACATGATGGTCTCTATTCTACCATTCTATATTCCAAGGTCCCTTCTAGCTCTAACCTTCTGTGGTCTGTGTGATAATATTTACCTATCCTGACATTCTGCGGTCCTATGATTCTTTAAATGGCCATGGTTCCAGCAGAGACTGTGGCCAAACATCTGGTCTCTCCTAGAGTATTAATTTAAGAGCAGCTAATAGCACCCTGTGTAGTCTCAATCTTGCTTACTGACTTAGCGTTCCTATTTTTGTTTGTTTGTTTTTATCCCCAGCTGTGGTGTGATTTTGACAAGTCAATACCCTTGAAGAACCAGACTTCCAATTCCTCGGCTGTGTTTACAGATATCTGCTCGTACCCAGAGGTATATATAAGCTCCCTTTGGCAAATCTTAGGCATAGTTAATGCAACATGACTCTCTTTTTAAATGAGCACATTTGGTGGACATGCCTCCAGGAAACAAGCCAGTAAGTCTCTCTTACTAAAAAAGCAGAGCTAAATTTAAACTGAGGGAGAAAGAGGAAAGATAGAGAAGGGTCATTATAATCACATGGCCACAGGAAAATCCCACTATGAAGAAAAACTCTGGCAGATTCATTAGAAACATTGTTCACCTAATGGCAGTGACTGTTGGAGCCACTAGGGACATTGGGAGCCAAATAATCATCCCCTTTCATTTCACAGAATGGGAAACTGAGATCGAGAGAGGTGAAATGTACACATATATACAAAATTCTGTATAATTACAAAAAACCTTTCCCCTATTAATAATTCACATTAATATAGAGTTCCAAGGTTAGTTAAGTACTTCTCACAGCAATATTATGAGCTAGGTACAATTGATAGGGTGGGAATTCAACTCAGGAAGGCTTTAATTCTAATTGTGCCTCAGACACTTACTACTTCTATGATTTGGGCAGGTCACTTTTGACTTCTTTCAGCCTCAGTTTCTTCATATGTAAAAAGGGTGTAATAATAGCATCTACTTCACAAGGTTATTGTGAGGAAGTAATGAGATAAAATATGTAGAGCACTTTGTCAGTCTCCAAGCACTACACAAATGCTATCTATTTGTGTTGGTATGCCTATGCTCATTTTGTAGGTGAGAAAACTGAGATTCTGACTAACTGTGACTTACCCAGGGTCACATTCTCAGTAATGGTGGCAGGCCTGATGTAAGGCACAGTGAGAAAGCAGCAGAATATATCCTGGGAATACAGAGTAATCACATTTGACTGGCTTGTGGAGGAGACAGCTAGGACTAGCTAGGATAAGACTAGAAATCACAACTTTGGAGTTATATTTTTGTGTTTGTTTTGCTCTCAAATATTGGTGAACTGCTACATCACATGTGTTTTAGGGAGAATCAGGAGCCAGTGTAGAGTAGAAGAATTAAGAGGAAAAGGTTCCCATAGGATCACTCTCAGATGCCCAGGGATTCTATGGATATTGGAATAACCCAACAGCTGGCCATAGTGATACCTGCCTATTATCTCTGCTACTGGAAAGCTGAGACTGGTAGATTGCTTAAATTCAAGAATTCTAAGCTGCAGTGGGGCTAAAGCCTATTGAGTATCCACACTAAGGCTGTCATCTATGGGGTAAAGCTTTGTTTGTGGGTATAGTCACTGGAATGCTAAGGAGAGGCAAACTGGCTCAGGGGAAAAAATGGGGAAAATCAAGACTTCCACACCAATCATTAGGGAATTGTGCCTGTGAATGACCATTTCACTTTCAGCCAAGGCAAGACAGGGAGATCCCACCTCCAAAGGGGTAGAGGGAAGGAATAGGCCAATGGGGAGATATTTGGCCAAAGTACCTACATTCTAGGGCCTAGAATGGTCATATGATACTTCAGCCAACCTCCTCAGAGAGATTTTGAAGGCTCTCCAAGACTTCTTGGAAGCAAAGACTTGCAAGCCTATAGAACATGCTGTGACACAGGTATCCCATAGAGCAGACCAAACAACTTGTAAACTTCTTGAGGCCACAGATAGGTTAGATAAGAGACAGACTGACAGTTGGTTGTGATGGGTCATATGACAAACAGGAGAATGCAAAGTGGCAACCCTACATTTTTCACGCCTCTACCCAAAATCCTTGGGCAGGTCATGTTGTGAAGGCCTACCATGGAGGGTCCACTTGAGACCCAAAGATGTATGTCTGAGAGGGGAGGAGGGAATTCACACACACACACACACACACACACACACACACACACACACATATATATATATATATGATATGTATGCATATTGTGTGTGTGTGTGTGTGTGTGTGTGTGTGTGTATACATAGGAGTCAACATATATATGTTGCAGGAGAAGGATGGGGGTTAGGTTGAATGAGCCACCACAGAAATTCCCCAGAGGATCCCAGAGATAAAAGAGATCTTAGAAGTCATATTGTCCAATCCTTCATTTTAGAGAAGAGGAAAAGGAGACTCTGATAGATGGGGTGAACTTTCTGAAGGCATACAGCTATCTAGTACTCTGCAGAAAGGTCCCACTACTACCCCTTTTTTTGTGAATTACCCCAAACCAGAAATTGGTAGAGAGCAGAAAACACTTCCCCCTCCAGTAGCAACATCAGGAGAGCTGTGTAATAGCTGGGAGTAGTTCATAAGGAGGCTCACTGTTGTTCTGGCTATATCACTGTAAGAAAAGGAAAGGAGATGGCTTAGGGACAGCTATTCATCATTTCTATTCTATTGACAGTCACCAAACTCCTGGCTCAATTATAATCCCTCTGCCCTCTACTGTCAATTTCATAGCTATCCTCTCCACATAAAAATGATTAATCAATGTAGAATGAATGAATGGACAAAGAATTAGGGCTAGAGGGCTATTTTTAACATCCAAAAGAAATAAAAATGGATAATCTCCTGCTAAACATAATGAGTTTCAGGTTTCCTTTGATTTCCCATTGTTGGAAGGGGGGGGGAGAGAGAGAGATAAGAGTAAGTAGATATAGATAGATAGGTAGATAGGTAGATAGGTAGATAGATAGATAGATAGATAGATAGATAGATAGATAGATAGATAGATAGATAGATAGATGGATGGATGGATAGATGGATAGATTTCAGTGGCTTTCTTTGCCTCGTAGCTTGGTTTTCACAGAAGCCTTTGCTCTCATGCATATCCAAATGATACTGCATAGTGGTCTTGACTTGCCTGTTCTGTTTCTGGATTAAAATGAGCTCATTAATTGTTCTAATCTGTATTCTCAGAGGAATAGTAAGGGATAATAGTGGAAAGATATGGAAGATTGAGGAAGACCTAAAGTCAGGGCTTCATTATTGACTGAATGTGTGACCTAAGGTAAAACACTTTAACTTTGTAAACCACTGTTTATTCATCTATAAAATGAGAATTATAATACTTGCAATACCCAGTGACCAAAATAGGAACAGTGGATAGAAGTTGCCAAGTGGCAAACTTAAGCTTGATAGAAGGGAATTCTTCCTTCTAGTTAGAGCTATCCCAAAGTAGATTGGGCTCCCTCAGAAGATAGTGGGCTTCACCTCACCAGAGGTCTTCAAGCAGAGGTTAGATGAATGTAGAATCAGAATTACAGAATCACAAAACCTCACAGTTGCAGTGGATTTTAGCAGCTGTCAAGTGCAACTCATACTCAAAAGAAATACTAACAAGTGGTCATCCAATCCCCGTTTGAAGTCATTTAATGAAGAGGAACTCTTTACCTCCAGAGGTAGTCCATTCCATTTTGGGCCAGCTTAATTGTTAAGAGATCTTTCTTGCCTTTAAGTCTGAATTTGCTTCTTTGCAACTCCTACTCATTGCTTTCAGGGAGTAAACAGAACACATCTAATCCTATCCCTATACAACAGTCCTTCAGATATTTGAAGACAGTTATCATCTCTGCCATGTCTTTTCTTTGCCAAGCTAAGTACATATACATGTCCACTTCCTTCTACCAGTTTTCATAGGATGTGGATTCAAGGTCATTCAACATCCTGGTTGCTCTACTCTGTATACTCTCCAGCATTATCAATATTCGCCTCAAATTGTCACACCCCTAGAATACAATACTCCACATGTGGTCTGACCTGGGCAGAGAACAGATGCATTCATACTTCCTTAGCTCTGTTTGACTCCAAGCATGAGTCATATCCGATGGCCAATCACGTAGCCTCAGGGTATCAAAATCAGACTCAATATTAACCAGGTGGAGAAATTTCATTTCAGAGAAGAAATAGCACAATGGAGAAACTGAGTCAAGAAGGTCCTACCTTAGGCATGCCAGGTCTCAACTTTTATCATGGCTAGACACCCACCTGTAATAGTTCTTAGACTGCAGCACATGTCATTTTCCACTTTTGGCTTCATGACAATTGGGACAACCATCCCTGTAATCAAAATTCAAAACAATAGCAAATTATGGTCCGAAGAATTTTTACCTCAAGAAACAAAATTTCACTGATCACAACTTAGGGCTTGAATACTATCAACTTTTTATGTTTCCCTGATAGGTAACATTTAATTTATCCTTTACTTATAAATTAAAACTAACCACATTCTGGTTTTCAGATATATAGCAATACCTAATAGCTGACTCATATTAATGTTTTGAAGTTACATCTTTAAGCCACTCTATATATTTTCATAATTTTTATAAGTGATAGTCAAAAATTGTCAAATGAAGACTCAACTATTATTGTAAAATTATTATCTGTTTTAAAACAAATAAACCCCATTAAATATTTAATAATTCACAAATATCTATATTTGTTACATTCCTTTAAAAGCTCAATTCATAATCTGACAGTATCCAGATAAAAAAATAAAGTATTTTTTCTAACAGAATTTCTGACACAGTGGCCTTCCTTCATTATACTAAAACAATAGATCTACTGATCATCCAGGATGAGGGTGGGGATTATCTAGATCCTATTTACTCTCAAAACTTTTATAGCATTAAGTTCTTATTTTTCCTTAAGATAAATTCTACAGAGTGGTAGCCCAGAACTCATAGTGAATAGTGTGCTTAACTTGGAATCATAAAGCCTTGAATTCAAATTCAGTCTCCAACATTTGCTAGTCCTATGATCCTTGCAAAGTCATTTTATTTCTATTCAGGAAAATCCCTGGAATTTATCTACTGCATAAGAAATTGGTTGTGATCTGCTTTGGTAGACGGAATTCACACAGTAGGAATGCATAGACACATCATGAACCCAAGAAATATGGGCCTTTTCTGTAGTACTGTTGGATGTGGAATATCTTACGAAGAATTAGAATTACTCATTTGCATAATGACTTACATTTCATATAGCGTTCATTCATTCTGAGTTTAGTACTAAGAAGAAATACTGGATAATAACTTGCAGTGGTGGGGGTGAAGGTGGGGGTGGGGAAGGATTTTACCTATGTGGGAGAACTGAACATGGCAATAGGGATGGAGCTAGTGTATAGCAAAAGGTTGAGGGTAAACAGGGAGGGAAAATAGAGCTTCTAGAAGATACAAAAGAGAATGGAATCAATGACACAAGTGGATGAGTATACTTTACCAAGGTGATAGACATGCCACATCTATTTCTTCATGTAGACCAAAAAAGGAGGGGATTAGTGATGAGGCAGAAAAATTTCAGGGCCAAAGGAAAGAGCATGAGAGAGATCATTGCCTCATTCTTCCCTGTATAATGGTGAGTGAGGTCATCTGTTGAGAGTCAAGAGGATTGGTATCAAGGACTTGAGGAGAGATGAGGTTTTGACGAAGCTATTGTAGGATTCATAATAGGAAATTGAATAAAAGGTCCATAAAGGACCAGTTAAAATTACATAAGATTAAGTTTTAATGAATGAGTCTCCATGGCTTTGTAACTTGGAGAGATGGAGAGGGGGAAGGGGAAGAGAGAGAGAGAGAGAGAGAGAGAGAGAGAGAGGAGAGAGAGAGAGAGAGAGAGAGAGAGAGAGAGAGAGAGAAGGCAGATGGTGGAACTATTCAGATTTGAAAATTGATGGAAGGCAAAGAGTATAAGAACAATTGGGAAAGGGAGTCAAGGTTAAGTGAACTACCTAGTCATACTTGCTAATCACATAGGTAAGACTATGAAAGTGTGATTGACTAAGGAAATAAGGAGGAATTGTCCAACTAGAAGCTGTAAGTAAGGATGAAGACCACATAGGAGCTGCTCTGGGCATCCAGAAGCAATGATAATAGAAGAATTGACAATGTAAAAAATAGTATGATCTGAGAAAGAAACTACAGAAGTCAAGATACTGGGGTTAGAATAGTGTAAGGTAACAGTGAGGGCCAAACTTCAATGCAGAAATCATGGAAATTGGGAAGACTAATAGCAAGTTGTTCAATGAGACATCGGTGCAAATATTGAAATCATGATGGATGAGGTCAGGGGTTGGAGTAGAGAGGAATATTGTGAGTCAGTTCCTGAACTCATTAATAAAGGAGTGAAAGCCACCTAGAGTTGGCAGGTGACAGAAACAAGGATCTTGATAGGAAGAAGTAATCTAATTAGGAGTTCCACTTTGAATTCCAGGGTTCTGATCCCAGCTTGGCCAGTATCTATGGATAACCTTGAGCAAATCACTATACCTTATTGTGTCTCAATTATCTTATTTCTAAAATGACAGGCATGGATTAGATTTTCTCTAAAGTAGTGTTTAACTCTGAAATTCTATAATTTTATGATCCTAAGCATGTCCAGAATATAGGGGTTGGTCTTTGAGAAAGCAGAAGACAAGAAAGACAGAGATGCAAAAAGGTAGAACCTAAAAGGACCAACTTGTAAAGGATATACACCACCAATTTATTAGACAAGTTTGAATTTCATACAGAAGACACTGCAAACCTCATGTGGTCTCCATAAGGAGATTAGTCATTTATGACATTTTACAATTATAGATCAACCCTGAATATTCTTCTTCATAAGACTACTGAATTTGATAATCTCTTCTGTCTCTAGTATTTCGTCTTCACGGGTGTGTTGGCCATGGTGACCTGTGCAGTTTTCCTCCGACTTAACTCTGTCCTGAAGCTGGCTGTGTTGCTGATTATGATTGCGATCTATTCTCTACTGATGGAGACCATTTATGCTTCCCTCTTTCTGCACTATGACAACTTTAATCACAATGGAGAGTAAGTGCCCACTGTCACATGTTTTCTTAATGCTCTTTCTGTTGAGCTGGCTGGACTTTTGAAGGTAGTGCCTGAATATGCCCTATGCCAACCTAGCACAGTACTGGGCATACAGTCAAGAGTGTGCAGTAAATGTTTTCTAATTAGTCATGTGAAAGATAGTAGATGGAAAAAGAGAGTCACATTCTGCATTTGATGTTTTATGAGTAGACTACTAGCAGTGACACACAATAGCAAGAGAAGTTGGGCAGCTACATTCTATGGAGCACAGGAAGTAGGAAGCAGTGTGGTTGGATAAGAAAGGAATACAGTGGATTAGGACACCTAAGGTGGTCTGGAGATAGAAATAATTACAAGTAGTTATTAGCAGGTTGATTCTGCTGTGATTTGAGACTGGCTATCAGAGTGCTGAGGAAATTACATCATTTAGGTGCTGTGCAGTAGCAAAAGTTGAGACTTACCCAAGGCGTTAGCATGTAAACATAATACACAGTGGTACAAAGTTTCCATGTGCATATGTTCTTGATTTGGCAAGATCAGAACTCTAGGCAGTTTGTCCTATGTTTTTATATCTTCTGAAGCAAAGGAGTTCTAAGAAACTTGTGGTCGTCTCTGTCTTTGAACTGTAGGAGTAGCTGAGTTGAAGATCTTGAGTCACTTGATTATAGTGGAATGCCAGTAAAGATTTGCCCAAGGATTTTCTGCATAGTGCACGCCTGAGTTACCTTGCTGGGAATCTTCTTTTCTTTACAGCAATGAGATGCATCTCTACTAGATTTCATGGACAAATTTAAGTGTGAAATTTAGCAATAACGTGGTACACTTGCACTTTCTTACTACATAAGGTTCTAGTGTCCTCCCTTCAATAAAGTCTTAACAAAACTGGAGAATATCTAAAGAAAAGCAACTTTGGATCTAATGAGATCCCAAAAGGGAAACAATCTCCAGACTGGTGTCCAAGCTGAACAGATGAAGGCTGAGGAGATATCTGTGCTATAGAGGAAAGAATGCTGAACTTTGATTCAGAAGATCTGAGTTCAAGTCCTGACTCTGACACTGGCTGGAAGTATAGCCATCAGCAAATCACCTATTTTCTGAGCCTCAATTTCTCCGTTTCTAAAGTGGGAAATGTATTAGTTATACTACTTAACTCATAGAGTTGTTTGAGTATAACTCTTCACTCAATACGCTAAACTTTGGCCTGCAAAGACTGCATTTCATTTAGAAGAAAATCCAAAATAATATCTCTTAGGCAGGGTTGCATAGTGAATAGTGAGCTGGCCTTGAAGCCACGAAAAACTGAGTTCAACTACCACTTTTAACACATACTGTCTAGCCAAAGGTCAAGCTACTTGACATTTCAGCGCTCTATGCAATTCTCTAAGAATCATAATGAATTGCAGAAAATGAGAGGGAATATTCTTTGGTAGAAGGCATTTCCTCATCTGGGAGTCCCCTAACAAATTCACAGGTCCATTCAGAATGTATCACGTGTTATGTAGAATGGACCCCACGTACCATCTAAGCACTCAAGGTAGATATGTATACTAGGTATAGAACAACTTTTATTTCACAGAAATACACCATCTTAATTATATCATTTCTCTCTAAGGTCCCTGCCAGCTTTAACAAGCTAAGAAAAATACAGAAGATGTAAAGGTCTCAAAGTAACCCATAAATAACAATGCAATTATTTTCCCTCTTCAGTGAGTCCCATCTTTCCTCAGTGCTCTATGGTCGTCTAGATTTATGAAATCATTCTGTAATTTAAACTGTCCTAGGAAGAGAAATGAACCTAGTGTTACTAAAGAGACAAACTAGTAGCCTTCCAATGAAACCATCGGTCACCCCAAAAGGCCATAAAGACCTTCAACATTAGTATCTTACTCTGGGAATTAAATTGGACCCAGAACATAAATGGGCTTGAGTTTGTTACAGAAACAACTCCCTTCCTAATGCACCCAAACGCTACAAATAAGTTGAAGTAACAGTGGAGAAAAACATCCAGGCCTCTTGCTACCCGTATTATAGTTTTATTTCGTTTTTATTCCTGCAGCTTCAGGAGCCATGTGCATAATCTGATTCTCTTTCTGCCTAGAGGGTGGCTAAACTCACAAACTCCTCCATAGGATTCTAGGATCACAGATTTAGAGCAGGGACCTTTAGTGGTTCCATTTAATTCACTCAATTACAGATGAAGAAACTGTGGAACTTCCTAGCTGCATAATTCTCCTTAGTCACTTAATCTCTCTGAACCTCAAGGTAATAATATTTTGGTTGTCCTCTTCACAGGGTCATATTTACAAGCTATCAGAGAATAATGCATGTAAAACGCTATGTAACACTTAAAACATAGCAATGTCAGATAAGTAGTGTAGCATAATGTAGCCCATCTCAGAGTCAGGAAGATGAGGGTTCCACCCTTTCTCTGGCACACTGGCTATATGACCCTGGGCAAGTCAATTGACCTCTCACTCCTCTGGTAACTCTGTAGAACATTAAATTGCAAAGCAGATGCCAAAATGCATTGGTGGAGGGATTTTTTTTACTAGAGCTCCCTACACCAATGAAATCACAGGTCTGGGACAAAACTAAAATTATTATTAATCCTTTTCAAACTTCGTTCATTCTCAACATAGCCCTTTACAATTCAGAGCTGGCTTCACATCACAGTGAGGCATCATAGCAAGACCTTTATGGAAGCATAACAGTAATGATAACAATAATGATGTTCATAAGGCATAAATGGCTTTAATTGTGCATGAATATGCTCTTGTTCACCAAATCACCAAATAGGAGAACTGGAAGATAACCTTTGAGATTTAAAGAGGAACTTTTGGGACAAGTAACAGGAATTACTTCTTTGCAAACAGGTACTAAATATGTAAAACTATAAAGCTGTAAAAACTAAAAGTATAAGCAGGGTTTAAATGAAGCCATCTCTAAGAAGAACACTAACAGGCAAGAGATCTAGGTCCTTGTCCTCTCTATGCTGCTAGTGAACTTATGACCTTGAGCAAATCACTTTCTGATCCCTATGTTTCCTCATGTATCAAATTAAAGGGTTGGACTCAATGCTCTTTTGAATTACTGTCCAATTCTATAGTTCAAAATCTATCCAACTTTGGGATTCCAAGACTTAAAATCTTGGTTGGAATAATAGCTCAGCTTCAAAATCTGATGTCAGTCTCAAGAAGTGTTCAAGTCCCCATCACTTTTTGTCGTTGAGTAATGGCTCTATGATAGTTTACCAGAGATTCTGTACAGGGCATTCCTTTTCAGGACTAATTTGACCAAGAAATGAAAAAGGAAAAGATCATAGATTTAGACTTATAAAGTGGTTTAGAGGTCAGTTGGTCCAATACCCTAATTTGACAGATAAGGAAACTGAGTCTTGAAGAAGTTAAATTACTTGCCTTTGGTCACATAGGAATGAAGTGGCAGAGACAGGATTTGAATTCGTATCTTCCTGACTCCAAGTTCAGAGATCTCTTCCAACTCTAAGATTGGGATGCTTGAGATTGTATGGGTTCACAAGAAGCTAAAAAAGTTTCAAAATCAGGTAAAGGGGGATCACGGGAAGTAAGAAAAAGGGGCAAAACACTGGCCAAATCATTTGTTCTCCCACAGCCTCAGCTTCAACTAAGGTATCTTCAAGTTTGAAAATTGTCTGGTTCTATGAATATATGTGTAAATAAATTCAACTTTATGATAATATTAAACTAGGTCACCCACCCAGCTACCTCCTAAGAAATGACATTTGATTCCCTAGAGCCCTTGAATATTCAGTACTGGAAAGAGAGGTTCATGTAATTATTCAGTTTCTTGGCAATGAAATTTAATGTTAGCTTCTTATTTGGGATCCACAGGAAAACCTGTAATTAAATTCTGTTCCATGGGTGCAAAAAATAAACTTAATGCCAAGTTTATTGCTGATGATATTGGAGTGTGAAAGGAATGGACAATTAGATCTTTTTCCAGATTCTTCTTGACTTAGGGGCCAATTAATTGTCTGGGTCTTTATTGACCAACATTTTGTCATAAGCTGAAAAGAATTTTAAAAGACCAGAAGACCTTTTCAGCTCCTCAACTCAGTAGCTCTATAAATCATCTATTTAGTCATCACCATTAATCAAGTCAACTGGCACATGGACTTCTTGTAAGATGTGCCCATTTCCAATGAATTAATTAATTGCATTTTGTGGGTTTCCTTTAATCAATGGATGACTAAATCTTTAGGGGTTTCTTCGCTTTTCTGAGGATTCTGCCATTTAGATGATTTTACATCTACAGCCAAGTACATAGAGTAGACATTAATAAACATTTGTTCATGAGGTATCAATCCTGTAAGAGAAATAGCATGAAACATAACAAAAGCTTGATGCATTTGGAGTCCGAGGACCTGGGTAACCAGGAGTCAGAGACCTATGCAAACTCTGTTACTTAATATCCATGTAATGATGATGATAATGAGGATGAGGATGATGATGATGATGATGATGATGATGATAATTAACATTTATGCAACATCAACTATGTGCCAGGAAGTACTTCTACTTTTTGTCCAGTCTCCAATGAAGGGATGAATGGAATCCATTGGACTTCAAACAAGTCTTAAAAGCCGGGGGCAATAATCATAATTTCACACAAGGCAACAATGAAAACTGAAACTGCATTATGCTCAAGGGTGGCACAGACAAAAAAAAAACCACTATCAATATAGGCACAGAATGTCATAGAGTTTAAATTTAAAAAAAAACATAATTAAACTATAAGGAAAAATAGACAAGAAAACAATAATTAATAGAAACTTCACAGTGCCCCTGTCAGACCTAGATAAATCTAACAAAAAGATAATAAACAAGAAGGAAATTAAGAACTTGAATATTATTTTTGAGAAGTTAGATGGAATAGACTTCTGGTTATTACATAATGGAAATTACAAGAAGCATTCATATTTATTGACATTTTATTAAAAATTGATCATATGTTAGCACATG